CATGTTAAACGAAAAGTAAAACAAAGAAAGAACAAAAGATAAAATGTTAAGCTAGGCATGAAGTTAATTCAAAGAACAAATTTCCCCAAATGAATTCAAAGTGCGAGAAAGCTTGTTGGTATATTTTTAACACATAGAGATAAATCCGCAAGTATAGCTCGATAATCTTGTAGCTTTTCCCAGAGAGGTATTCCAAGTATCGATTCATAGGGGAAATGTAGAGACTAATCATTCTATTTATAGAACTTATGTCACACCACGTGATCTACCACCTTCCTGGAAAGTAAAGGGCCTCCATGATTAACTCCAAGTCTAAGCACCATGCTTACACTTATGATTAACACTTTAACCTAGTGCGCTCTATAGACTAAAGCACCCAAAAAGAGAGTCATGTGATCCTAACAATGAACAATATAAACAATTACTTACTTGAACTGTTGATTACTAGAGAGATCTCAAAGCAAGCTCAAGTAGAACTTTGGATCCGCCAAGGTACAAGCCATAGAGAGAGCACCGATAGGGCGGGCACCTCCTCCAAACTATTCCCTCATCTATCTCACTATTCTATTTATAAGACTAGACTTCTAGAGGACTAATCTTCTCTTCATTGTTGGCTCGATCCTCAATATATGAATTAGGGGTTTTAGGGATCCGCTAAGGGAGGGGGTAGGGGCTGATATATATAGGCCGAGCATCCATCGTGGGAGCCCTTGGATCAAACCAACTCAAAGAACGGCATAGATGCAACCTAGGAGGCTGTGGAGAACCTTGACATAATGAGGTGGAGGCCAGGCCTATTGGGATTCTAGGGGCCAGGCGTGCCACGGCCTGTGTGTGGGGGCCAGCCACCCCACATGGCGCCCCTGGGCTCCCGCTTTGGTGTGGTGTCCTCTAGAGTCCTTAGAACCTTCGGGTGCCCATTTCGTGGTGGATAAGCACGACATTCGACATGTAGGTCCGCCTTGACGGGTTTTCTAGGTAAACTCACAGAAAATACAGATTCACCGAAAAACTCATGGAATTTGTTAGTTTAAACCCTTAGACCTTTGTTGGTGATGCACTTATTCATATTTTGTTGACGTTTTATAATGGTTGTTAACTACCATCAACAATCGTCGTTGGACCTCACATCTTCTAGGAAGCTGTCTGTGACTTCGGAGCAAGTGTCAACATCATGTCTATGGTAATTTATGAGAAAATCCTAGGAGATTCTTTTGTTATACACAAATACACGCTTGCGTACTTTGTAGATCACCACTCGCTACCCCAAGGGAGTTCTTGAAGATGCCACTATTCGAGTGGGACAATCATATATTCCCTCAGAGACTTTGTGGTTTTGGAAACAGTGGAGATGAAAGGGCACCCATCATCTTTGGTCGACCTTTCCTAAGCACAAGAAAGGCCATCATCTATGCATAAAGGCAAAGATCTCGCTTCACAATCAAGGTCAAGAAAGAGAAGTTTTCTTCAAGAATCATATCCTCAATCTCCGGCATTCGCAGATGCCATACCAAATTAAAGAGACAACAAAGACTAAGAAGAAGAAGAATGTAAGAAGGAAGAACAAGGCCGACAAATACCGTAAGAATTAGTCAACATGATCAACACACTTAGATCGTCAGAGTATGACCACCTCCTCGCTTCACCATTCCTTGCTAAGAAGGATGATCTAGGCGCATCTACGATCGAAAGTGTACCATTGGACAAAGAAGATTCCACAAGACCTTCTACGACATTGATCGAGCATCAATATAATGTCCAAGGTAACGTATGAATATTTATTTGGTAATGAACCCTTGTACCCTACATATATGCAGTTGCAGATGGCGGAACCAATCAATCCGATTCCCGAAAGGAATAGCAAAGGACATTATGGTAAGAATACACGACCACTTTGCCCCTGCTGACTTCATGGTTTTGGACATGGGAGAACAAGAAGATGATACACCCATCATTCTGGGGAGATTGTTCCTCAACACCACCAACGCGATCATCTACGTCAAATCTAGACAAGTCCACTTCCAATTCCCTGGAGAAAAGGTACGTTGTTATTTCAATAGTTATACTACTTATGAGCAGCCGAAGAAGAACCGCTCTAGGAGGAGACGTCGATCATCCCGATATCAAGGGAACCAACCCCTATTGAATGAATGGGAGGAAGATAAACAACCTAAAGAATTTGTGAAAAAGGAACCTACACCACCTAAGTCAAGCCCACCGGCCAAGCAGGTGTGGAAGGAGAAGGTGACATCATCAAAATCACAAGAGGTGCAACCATCAGGTCTCCATCACCGAGATCGGATAATGCACCCAAAGAATGAATAAGACTCCAGTAAAGTCCTATCCGGAGGACCTAAAAATCTGAACCCTCGCCATGAGGTAATATCAGTACTTATCGATATTTATTTTCAGTGTTGCATGAATTGTTCTTACTTTAGCACATGCACTTTTCTACATTAGCATTGTACTAGTTAAAAATATATGCATACATCTAGTCATATTTCATTTTCTCGCATATAAAGAAAAATAAAAAGTTTTATTATCAGAGATCGTCATCGCATAAGAAAAGAAAATAAAATATTATTGCATCCTTAAGCCCCATGTGAACAATTTTCATGGTGCAACAAGCCCAAGGAATATCCACCGTGGTGGGATAAAATAATATATATATATATATACTATGCCTACATATTTTCTTTTCTTGCATATAAAAAAATAGAAAATCCAAAAATATTAGATAGACATCCTGTTAAAATTCTCGCCATTAAAATTTATCTAAACTCACAAGAACAAATTCTAAATGGCTGACCGCTAACCCCTTATCTTAATCAAGCCATGAGTTTGTTCTTGTTAGAGTATTTTGCAGATGATTCACATGATCAAGAGCAAGTTCACTCGGTTGTCTTCATCTCACTCCACTCGTGGATGAGAAGGACACACGCCGACAAACCCGCCTCGAGAGAAAGATCAATCAACATCCAATAATCACCACGGCAACATTCAGCTTTGGGGAGGAGCATCCCTGTATCTAGCTAAGTATTTCCTTCCTTTAGTTTTACTATTAGTAAGTTTGCTTTATATTAGCTAAAGAAATAAAAGATGCATAACAAAATAAAATTTATCTTAGTTAATTAATTATATATATAAATATTATCAAGGTGTGATCTTAAATCTTGAAAATAAAATAAAAGTGTGTGTCTAGTTTTTTATTTTTTAAGAGCTCAATAAAAGGATTCTCAAGATAATCTCTTACAATGGAAATGATGAATAGTTGCTCGTCAGTAATTCCTTTCAAGTATCTAGTTTTCACCTTAAATTCTTCCTCGCTGAGTTTTGGATAACACTGCTTTTGATATAAGAATTTACTCTCAACTTGAAACTGTGGGTAGCATATGCTTGATCTAAGTCTAGGTAATTGACAGATATGATATGAGAAGATCTGAGCTGCTATTTATCTTATTCCAAGTGATACTAGAGTTCCAAAGATTTATCTTTTGAAAAAAATAAAAATGCGTCATAATGAGTTCCTTGTATGACAAAGCTTGACTTCCTACCAGAGCCCTAAATGATATTTAGACTAGAAAAACTTTCACTCATGTATGTTGCTTGCTTTTGCATTGAGTTTAGTCAAGCTTTGTTGACCCTTATGAGAGGTTTTGTCATGCTCTTAAAATAAAGATCACGTACACACCACCCACATA